AAAGGTGTCAGTTGATTACTCAAAGGTAGTGAAATAAAAAGCAGTAAGACATATATCAGACATTCATAGCAACCTTTCTACAACCAGAGAATAAAAGGGATGGCTGGTTGCTGGTAAAAGGTGCCCTTTTTAGCCACCTGTGCATGGTTGGATATAAGCCTTGGCAATGGTTTTACAGCTATGATTTTTTCTCAGTCTCCTTCCCAGACTTTATGCCTCCATTTACCCCATGAACAGTCTCTCCAGAGTTTAACCTTAGCCAACTTTTTTTCTCACTTTACTCAGTCTTCTTCAGAGCTTCATCTATCACAAAGATATATCCTATCCTCTGTCTCCAGCTTTGCTTTTTCTCTCAAGCTCCAGACCCACATACATGCAACCCCTACCTGCTAGTCGCTGCACTGCCACTTGCCACCTACATGTCTCACAGACACCTCTAACTTAACATGGGATTGCCTAAATCCACTACTTACTCCCCAAATCTGCTCCTACTTTGCTATTTCATAACTTGGTTAATAATGCAATAAATGTACCATCATTCATCCTGTTGGAAAAACCAGAGATTTAGGAATCGCTGGAGATACAAATGTGGATATAGCATAACTTTGCCCTCAAGAAATAGGCAAGCTCATATGGTACATATATGTAAATCTCTTCCTTTTCTTAAAATCAATAGTAATTTCTTTTTTCACTCTTGTGGAACTTAGAATTCTACATTTTGATAATAATAAAAATTCTTTTTTATAAACTTATCTGTATTAAATTGTGAGCTCCTTTGGGACTACATAGAGCTGGGCATATATTTCACTCATTACAGTGTTCCTCCAACCCTCTGGCATATTTCATTGAACACAGTTGATCTTCAACTGGTCTACAGATGCTACTCAACTTATGGTGGGGCTATGTACTGGATAGACTCATTAAAAGACAAAAATATCATAACTTGAAAATGTAAGATAGTAGATGTTCCCCAACTTAACAATGGTTTGACTTAAGATTTTTGACTTTCTGATGTTATGAAAGTGATACATATTCAGTAGAAACCATAACTCCATCATATGTCATAAGGAGTTACTTGAGTTAACATGGGTTTAATCCCAATAAACTCATAATAAAGTTGAAAATCTTAAATTGAACCATCATAAATCTGGGACTGTCTCTATGTTGGATGTATACATGAATGAATGATTATTTTTAAAAAAGACAAATCCTAGGGTGATGGCTCACATGTGTAATCCCAGCACTTTAGGAGGCCAAGGTGGGAGACTCGCTCATGGCCAGGAGTTCAAGAGCAGCCTGAGCAACATAGCAAAAACCTGTCTCTACAACAAATAAAAATAAAAATAAAAAAATTTAGCCAGGCAAGGTGGTGCATGCCTGTAGTCCCAGCTACTCAGGAAGCTGAGGCACAAGGATCACTTCAGCCCAAGAGTTTGAGGTTGCAGGGAGCTGTGATGATGCCACTGCACTCTAGCCCAGGCAATATAGTGTGGCACTGTCAAAAAAAAAAAAAAAAGGCAGCAAAAAGGGGTATTGACACTGTCAACCGGCATAAATAAATGTAAGTATATGGGGAAAAATGATCTCCAGCTGGAGGGAACAAAGAACAATTAATGAAGATGGTAGAATTTTATCTGTTCTAAAGAAGAAGGACATTTCAGAGGAAATGCATGAGGAAAAAGGAGAAGAGGAAATGTTAGGATGTGTATGGGAATACAACTAAAGAACAAATAAGGTTAAAAGTTAGAGACTTGATTAAAAGGTAAATAAACATAATGCTTTAACTGGCAAATATATTACACTTATTTGTGTAAAACTGTTAATATTCTTTAATCATCTTTTATGACTTTTACTATGGAAAATTATAACCACATAGAGAACAATGAGCCCCTTACTACCTCAACAAGTATCATTTCTGTGCATATCTCTCAACAATAAGACAACATCTGTAAGCATACCTACAGTGCCACTGTCAAGTTTAAAAAGTCATAATTCATCAGTATCACTATTCTATTTTCAGAATTCTCTGATGTTTTCATAATTTCTTTTTTCTGTTTTTAGTAGAGACAGGGTCTCACTTTTGCTCAGGCTGGTCTCCAACTCCTGACCTTTAGTGATCTTCCTGCCTTGGCCTCCCAGAGTACTAGAATTACAGGGGTGAGCCACCTCGCCCAGCTCATAATTTGTTTTATGGTTATTTGAAAGAAACAGGATCTGACTAAAGTCCACAATACATTGCAATTGGTTGTTAAATTTCTTTTTTTTTTTTTTGTTTTTTTTAGAAGAGGAAATGAAGTCAGAAGGTTGTTAAATTTCTTAAACTGTCTCTCTCTCTCTCTCCCTCACACACACACACACTTTCTCCCCTCCCTTCTTCCCTCTCTCTCCCTTGTAGCCATTTCATTGTAAAACAAAAGATATATAAAAACCACTCAAAACATGTATGAGTTAATGAGTTATTACAAAGCAAACAGCTTCGTAATCAATACTCAGGTCCAGGAACTTTGCCAGCCACCCTTGAAAGGCATTCCACATGCCCCATGTCAATTATACCTATTTACTACTTCCCACAGTAGTGACTATCTATACTTTCATAGAAAAATCACTTCTTTGTTTTCACTTATAATTTTATCATCTAAATGTGCATGTTCACATGCGATAGGCTCCTACAGTTTTTAAATGTCTTCTATGTTTCTTGTAATCTATATATTTCCACTCCATGCCTTTTTTTTTTCTTACAATTCATCTGTTGAAGAACCCAGCACATCTGACTTATAGAGTGTCATATAGTCTGGATTTTGCTGATTGCAAATTCATGGTGCAGTTCAATATATTCCTAAATTCTCAATACCTCTTGCAAAATGGCAGTGGGATCCAAAGGCTGGATCAGACTCAGATTTAATCCATTTGGCAAGCTTATAGGTAATAATGTGTTCTTTCATCAAAAGAAACATATCTGGTGGTTTCTCATCTTGTGATGTTAGCAGGCATTAATTCTTAATGCTTGGATTTATTAATCCATCAAGGATTGTAAGGAGATGATATTCTAATTGGATCATTTATCTTTCACTTATTATCAGGAGTACTTTGATAGAAACATATTTCTCTGTACCACTTCATTACTCAACATTACATTTCTTCTAAAAATTCCAGAATGAATAGTCATTTTCCTTTACCAGTTTTCAAGATAATGAATTGATTTCCTATCATTATTTAAATGTAACTAATTACCTTATTTTTAAATATCATTATGAACATAAGAATTTAAACTTACTTCACAGGATTCAAACTATTTCAATTACTATCTCTATTTAGGTTCTAATTATTCACCTTTGGCCAACAGAGACTCTTCAAGTTGGCTCCTAAGTTGTTACATTAACAACTTGAACAGAGTCAGAATTTAAAATTTTCAACTGTTATTGTGGAATTATCTAGTTCTCCCTTGAACTCTGCCAATTTTTGCTTCATGTAATTTGAATCATTGTTATTAGGTACATAAATTTTTCTTATTTGTCTGTTTTCCTGATGAAGTGTTTCTTTTATTATTACGAAATGTACTCTTTATTTCTGGTAATCCTCACTGTCTTAAAGTCTACTGTATCTGATATTCATAAAGCCATTCTAACCTTTTTGTTTTGTTAATCATTTGTTTTTGATTTTTAAAATTTTTGTCCTTTTCATCTCCTATTGATCTTAAGGTATTATGTTGTGAGGTATTATATACTGTTATGTTCCTATTAGTTTAGCCTCTTTTTTGAAACAATTTATTTTCTTCTAAGTTTTTACTAAGTTATAAAATATACATAACTTCTGAACTTTTATAATTCTTATGTATGTTATTATTTCACATCTTGTTTTCATTTTAAATATCTTTTAACTCATTTTTGAAATGGTAGTTTTATTCTGAACTTTAAACTGTGGCAGGATTTTCTAAATACACAGAGATCCCTCTTTAAAACTGTAATGGCTTGGTCTTGCTATGTCTAGACTCTATTCTCCTTCTCCATTTTTAGACAGTCATTCTCTTTCGTTCCTATATGTTTTGATCCAGTTCACTTTTGATTACACTCTCAGCAGATTTTCCTCAACGTGGCTGGTCATTTTTCAAAGTTGTAAGACCGTAGAACTGTTTCGACCCTTTCCAAACATCTGACTAAAGTTTTCTTGCACTCACTTTCTATTAGAGAGCAAAACCCCTCCCATTTTCAGCTGCTGTTCTCAAAATGATTCATCATGCTTTCTAGTGAGTACCTGTTGGCTCTTTCAGAGTTCTTCTGTTCTCAAGTCTGCCAGACACTACATTACTTCCATCTGTTCCCTTCCCTACAAACATTGACTCCATATGGGTCTTAAGGCTGTTGGTGGTTTGTCTCACAGTCTTTATCGAAGTGGTTCTTATGGATAACTTGTCATTGAGTTTTGTTGTAAATTCTGTCCATGGGTATTTTTTTTCCTTTGGTTTATGTGAAGATTTGAAGCAATTCAAAAGCTCTGCTGCTGCTACAAGTGCCACCTTCCAACATTTCCATTTTTTGATTAAACACTTTCCAAATCCCTCAGATGTTGGAGAGCCCACAGATGGACAGTGCCCACAAATGAGAACAACAGACAAGAAAACACACATAAATAATAAAATATAATACTGACTAATCAAGAGTTGAAATTCACCAGATGAATTAGCAGCTTATGACTCCACCAAGCAGTGAGTAGACATGAGCAAAATTTCTCAAGATGTTTCACAGGAAATTGACAGAAATAAGGTAGTTCTGGTATTCTAGTTAATGTGATTTCAGAATTGGTGGGCTGAGGCAAATCACATGGCACCATTTCCTTTAAAATGGTACAAAATGAGGGAGTGGTGAAAGAATTGTATAAAGTTATTGAGGAAGAAATCAGAAAACCTGAAGAGAAACATCTCAGTTATACATTCAACTCAGCAAATAAGTATTATCATTTTATATACCATCAAGAAAGAATAAAATATCATCTAATTTGCTTACCATATACCAAGTGATGGAAGGTTTGACACTGGAAGGAAAAAATCCATCTACATCTGGACATGTGATGTTCTGAATACCATATTCTATATACAGTCTATATACTGGAAGTTTCATGGGGGAATTGAAACAGCTGTCTTTTTGAACAACTTCCAGGGGAAATGCAACTTTGCTGCAGTATGTGGTGTTCCTGAAAAGAGAAATACACAATGAATGGGTAGTCTTACTTGCATTAGATTTAAAACAGCAACCACACTAAAGTGAACTAAGTGAAGCCAGGCTACATATTGAGACATCTTTAATATGTGTAAGTTCATGTAAAATTTAAGTAGGTTATAAAGGCATTTCTTATACCAATTAACATGACAGAATAAAAATATACAGTCACAATTAACGACTATTAATGTATTATTTAGATATGATACTAAACATGTGTGTGTGTATGTGAACTTATATAGTCACATGCCACATAATAGTGTTTCAGTCAATAATGGATCATGTATATAATGGTGGTCCCAAAAGATTATAAGGAAGCTGAAAAATTCCTATTGTTTAGTGATGCTATAGCCATTGTAACATCACAGTGTGACACATTACTCATGTATTTGATGCTTGTACAAACAAACCTACTGTGCTGTCAGTAGTATAAAAGTGTACAGTCACGTCCTAGGCCTTCACATTAACTCACTACTCACTCACTGACTCACCCAGACCAACTTCCAGTCGTACAAGTTACATTCATGATAAGTGCCCTTTATAGGTGTAACATTTTTTACCTTTTATACTGCATTTTTACTGTAACTTTTCTATGTTTAGATACAGAAATACTTACCATTGTGTTACAATTCCTACAGTATTCAGAATAACATGCTATACAGGTTTGTAACCTAGTTCAACTCTCTTGCTGTATGAATATATTAGATGCCAAAGCTCTCAGATGTGGATATGACTTGCATAAGATCACCAGCTAAGTACCGGCAGAGCCGAAAAGATGTCCTAGTTTCTCTGTTTTATCATAGTGCTCTTTTGACTATAACCTGTTTTAACTTCCACCATGTTGTATTGGAACATAGATAAAGGGCACATGAGCATTTCAGGTACCCTAGAAGGTCACTATGACTTGAAAATAGACCATTTGAAGACATAATTAAGCTAAAATGATGTCATAAGAGCGGGCCCTAATCCAATATGACTAATATCCTCATAAGAAGATGAGATTAGGACATAGACACACATGCAGGGAAGACCAGGTGAAGACACAGAGAGAAAACGGCCATGTACAAGCCAAGAAGAGAGACACCAGGAATGAAACCAATCCTGCTAACACCTTGATCTTTGACTTCTGGCCTCCAAAGCTGTGAGAAAATAAATTTGTTTTTTTAAGCCATCCAGTCTGTAGTATTTTGTAATTGCAGTCCCAGTAAACCAATACACCTATTAAATAGTAGAAAATTATGTTAAAAGAAAAAAAAATCTATATGGGAGTTTAGAAATCACAGTAAAGCCTAATAGCTAAAAATGGACTGGAGGTAAGAAGTAACCAAAAAAATTAAGTAAATATTAAAGTAGTTATTCTTTAGAGAAGCTTCCGTTTTTTGAAGTTTTTTTTTTTTTCCTAAGTAAAAACAATACTCTCTAGTAAAAGAAAAATAGGAATATTGTGGAGTAAAATATAAAATCTATGTGAATTTTCAAGAAAAGAGAAGTAGATTTGAAAAAAAAATTTGCAGAAATGATAGGCTGCTTTGGATCATATTTTTATATTCTCAGGGATATGGTGTTCTCTTGCTTCTTAGGGGAATTTTGGTAGAAATATTTAAAAAGCATTGTCCTAAATACATGTGATGCCTCTCAAATATTCTTTCACCTAAAAAGGCACCCTGAGTCTCTATTCTGTGCCAGACACTTTGAAAGATGCCAAGAATAACAGCTATGATTGGGCTCTACTCCCTGCCCTGTTCATTGTAGGAAATGGATGCCTCCAGGTGAGGCATAAATGTAGGCAGGTACCAGTGTCATGGGAAGGGGGCAAACAAACAAGCCTCTACCTTTAGACAAATTCAGCATTTGTCAGGGTCTGAAAAAGGAACCACCTATGAAGAATGTTCTCAGGGGGCACAGTCATTTTCCCTGCAATACCCCCTTTACCCCACTTCAGCTAAGCTACTGAGGACTAACTTACTAAACTCTATCTAAATGTTTTCTTCCCCTCCCCAGCTTTGTAGCACACAAATCTTCTAGATAAAAATCCTGGAACTAAAGGGAAGAGAAAAAGTCCACCACCAAGAGTCAGGCTACCTTAACATGCAGGTATAGTTGCCAGTGTCATTGAGGAGGGTGGGCCGGAACCAGAGCACATCTTTCTCTTTACTAATGCGGTTCTCAGGGAGGCGGAAGTTAATTGGCTCCTCGAGGTCCCGGTCCTGCCTAGTCCAATACCAGATGAGAGTAAGGCCAGCTGAATGGGCTGTGCTGTAGTTATATTTCAGGAAGTGTTCAAAGAGTGGGCACTTGATGCGAGCTGGCTCATCTTCAAACACCTGGATTTGTCTCATGGTATCAAGTCCCCAGTCATCACAGCGTTCTGGAATAATAAAAAGAGAGAGAGAGGGACAGAGAGAGAAAGGGAGAACGGGCAGATGAGTTACTTTACAATAAAGACCTACAGAGAACACCTAAGGATACCCAATCTTTTCCAAGAACCTCCTTCTTTGGTCATCTTTAGTAACCTTCCTCTAATAATTGCATACAATAGGCACCTGTGGTAAGAAGAAATTACTTCTCATTTTTTAAAATTATACTTTGAGTATCTCTTGAGTACCAACTTGATCTGGTAGTTTGATCCTGTTAAGCCCTACAAGGTATGAGGGATGGTATCACCTAAAAAAAGACATCATGTGCTTCTTCACTTCTCAGGAGCAGAGAAGGTTTTAGGGAGGCAGTTGAAACTGAAAAGATAACCCTTGGGTGGATGGGAGAGAGAACTCTCAGTTCTCTATAGGTCTCCTGATCTGGGGGCTAGACCTGCACTGTCCAGTAGAAATTATAATACAAACTACATGTGTAATTTTAGACATGCCAGTTGCCACATTGAAAAATTAAAAAGATGTATGTCAAATTAATTTTAATAATATATATTGTTAAATCTGATATATCCAAAATGTCAAAATAAAATTAATTAGCTATGTTATATTTAGAATCTTTATTTTGTAGAAAATCTTCAAAATTCAATGTATTTACACTGAACAGTACATCTCAGTCTGGGCCAGCCACGTATGTCCTCTGACTACCTTATTGAACAGCATGATGGTCCTGTAAAAGTCAAGTGTTCTCAGCAGTACTCACTGTGGGAATATGCATTGGGGAACAAAAGTGCTAGAGTTTCAATGACTGACAGTCAAAGCAAATTTGTAATGGCTTTTATGATTTTTTTAAAAAAATATTTTTAATTATTAAGGGTACATAATAGTTGTATATATTTATAGGACACATGTGATGTTTTGATACAGGGATACAATGTGTATTAATCAAATCAGGGTAATCACTCATGTATTCAAAAAAAAGAAAACATAATTACTTATTTTCTTAAGAGTAACATATGAATGGGAGGGCTCTAGAAATCACCAAATGAATGCCAAACAGAGGTCAGGGGTGCTGGAGTCCTGTGAGCCACAGAACTATCATCTTAAAATAATATTATTTTTTCCTTGTATTCCTAGCATGCATACACACACACACATATACATATACACACATACATACACATATATATTTTAACTGTGTAATCTTCCTTATATTTCCATTGACATCTAAAACCTTTCATCCTAAGGATAATAATCAGAAAGGATACATTTAGTGTCATATTATAAATAATGTTATTTTAAAATAAAATGGTTACATTGCTCTTTTAATTAGAGCCAATGGAAAAATGATTTGTCATACACCGATATCCAACCTAAAAATACATAAACACACTTTCTTTTAACCATTATAAATTCCATAGTGTTTTTTTCTTTTTGAACTTTCATTAATTCCACTATCTCCGAACATATTTTTACTTTACTGGAATATAGTCTTACATTTGATAGTTTATTTTTAAGTTTTCATCATTCTCATCGTTTATTCTTCATACAATATATAAAGCACTAAGTATTTAAAAGATTTTCCTTCTGAAATGGCTTTTATACATTTTAATAATATATGTTTCCAATTTTATAAGTAATTATTAAATGTAAAATGTTAAAATTTTATTAGAAAACATACCTTAATCTAAATGGGCTGTTTTTGAATGAGAGAATTTAGGCATTCATTGAAAATTGTTTGATTGTATGTAAGCACTGAGAAAATGTCTTCATAGCCAGGAACAAAAGGAGTTTACTTCTAATAAGGTCACTCAATTCTTTAAACTCCTTCTGAGCTATATACCCATTTATATTTTTATCATCAAAAATTATTTTTAATGATCGATTGACAACTCTAAAAGACCCAGTCTGCAAAAGCAGCCCTAGTTTTCACTCTTCCCTGTATCTACACCCTCTGCAATTGAAAAGTATGAGTCCTCCAATCAAGCAGGAGAGTCTGCTTGACCACCCCTTGAGTCTGGTCTGCCCTTGTGACTTATGACTTACACAGGCCAAGGAATGCACCAAAAGTGATTATGTAGCAATTTAAGCCTAAGACTTAAAAGCTTCTGCTTTTTCTCTTGGAACTCTGTTACCACCATGAGAACAAGCCCAGGAAAGCTTACTAGTAAATAAGAGACCATGGGGAATGGAGCTGAGGCACCCCAGCCAGCAGCTAGCCTGTCTCCAGAAGCACAGCTGTCTGGCCTTCCCACAACTAACCAAAGATGCAAGAGCAAGCCCAGCCTAGGTCAACTGTTCCAGGCAACTTACAGACTCAGAAGCAAAAAATATATGTGAAATAAATAAAATGAAGTTTTGTCACGTAAGTTTGTGGTTGTTTGTCAGGCAACATTTTTGTAGCAGCAGATAACAGGTAGAAAAACTATGTTGGTAGTTGCTTTAATTTTGATAAAAGCACAGAATTTGAAGCTTTCTGACTTGCAAAAGGATTTGTCACCTAAATAAGTAATAAATCTCTGGGAAATTTAACAAACTTTTTTCAAGACTCTACAAATGACTTTGCTGCTATCCTTTCATTTAGAAGCACCTTTTAAAATCTAACATAGGGAGAAAGAATTGAGAAGATCAAAATATTATTTCCATCAATGTACATTTATAATACAATATTTTTATAAAGTTGCAGAGTTAGCTCATTGGGTTTACAGAAAATTACAAGTCTTTCAGATAAACATAACATACATAATATATGTATCTAACTTCATTCCTTTCTGAAGTTCCACTAAAACTAAAATAATTTTTAAATACAAAATGCCAAGTTACTTCAAGAGCAGGAGAAAAGACAATAGCAACATGAAAATGGATAAGCAGTAACAGGCTTAGCAGACTGTAAAAGAAAATTCCTCAACCAGCAGAGGAAAACTGGAGAACAATAATAGATTGTTTAGTTTCCATGCCTTTGTGAGGCATTGAGTGTTTCCATAGGAATTGAACTCTACACTTCTGATAAAGGTCTAATAACAAAAATCTATCTAGAACTCTAAAGAATTAACGAGAAAAAAGGCAATGGAAATGAACAGAAACTTCTCCAAAGAAGACAGAATAATGGCCTGCAAACATCTAAAAACATGCTCAACATCTCTATTCATTAGAGAAATGCAAATCAAAACCACAATGAGATACCACCTAACCCCAGTGAGAATGGCCTGTATCAGGAAATCCTCAAACAACAAATGCTGGTGAGGATGTGGAGAGACAGGAACATTCTTACACTGCTGGAGGGACTGCAAACTAGTGCAACCTTTGTGGAAAAGAATTTGGAGATACCTCAAACAACTAAAAATGGAAATACCATTCAACCCAGCAATAGCATTGTTATGCATCTACCCCAAAGAGCATAAGACATTCTATTATAAAGACACCTGCACCCAAATGTTTATGGCAGCACAATTCACTATTGCAAGGACATGCAAACAACCCAAGTGCCCGTCAATTCATGAGTGGATTATTAAAATTTGGTATATGTTCACAATGGAATATTACTCAATTCTAAGAAATGACAGTGAGCTAGCACTGCTTATACTATCCTGGATTAAGCTTAAGCCCATTATCCAAAGTGAGGTGACACAAGATCAGAAAAATGGGCTTCACATGTACTCGCCATCAAATTGGTACTGACTGATTAACACTATGGTGCTCAAATGGTGGTGGTGTTCACCAGGGATTTGGGGGTGGGGGGTAGACCCACATCTGAGGGATGTGGTGAACATTGTGGAGGGGAAGCGCATACCTATAACCCTTGCTAGGGAGAGGCAAAGATATACAATGTAACCAAAATGTCAAAAAAAAAAAGAAAAAAAAGAAACATTTATTAGGTGTTGGGCAGGTGGGAGCAGGAGGAGGGGATGGGTGTATACATACATAATGAGTACGATGTATACCACCTGGAAGATGGACACACTTGAAGTTCTGACTGGGGGGAGGGGTGGCAAGGGCAATGTATGTAACCTTAACAACATTTGTACCCCCATAATATGATGAAATTAAAAAAAACTGGAGAACAAACCAGCCTGAAATTCAGAATGCTGAAAAAACGTAGGAACTATCAGCACCAAGATAAGGAGTAACTAGTGATGTTCACCCAATATTTATGGGTTATTCTCCCAGGCATATTTCTGATATTGTATTTTCTGTACTATGAAGTAAGGAGAGGCCATGTGACTCACTTCCACCAATAAGATGTAGTCAGTGTCACTTGTGTTAGGTGTTTTACAAGTATATTTTACCCGGTTCCCTTTTCATCTGCCCTGGCAAACATGAAAGCACAGAGATTGACACTCCTTGGCTTGGGTACCTCAATGTGGATGGCACTCAGCAGAGCTTTGTTATTTTAAGTCACAGATAATTGGGATTTGTTTGTTACCAACACCAATAATCTATTATACCTTGGCAAATGCAGTCAGGTACTTCAAAACTGGGCATATAGGGAGAATGGTAAGATAAAGAAGATCAGATTACATCTATATAAAAAAAGTGATATCCTTTGTTTCAGTCCTATTCTGGTATTACTGAACAACTCTCCCCTCTCAGCTTCAAAGAGGAGGATAGCCAGACATAAACTCCAGACAAGAGAATGAAAGAATCTTCTGTGGAAAATTTGACCAGCTTAAGAAAAAAGATCTCTAACAATCTCAGTATCAGAGATTTTTTAACAAATCATGCAGCCACATCATCCAACAGAAAAGCTTATGTTTAATAAGCTCCATACTCATACTTAAAATTTTCAATCAGCTTCTTAATCTCTTCTTCTTAAATATGAACAGGTAACTTGAGAATAGATCTGAGAAGAATCTCTACCACAAAAAGTAGTGTCCAAAGAAACAAAGTAAAAGAAACTTGGAGAAAAACAAGACTATAAAGGAAAAGTAAACATTTAAAACATAGTATCAACGGCCTCAAAGAGATAAATAACCTACTGTATCCATGTAGCAGGAACAGGATG